TTTACAACAAATATAATGCTTAAAATAACTAAATAAGAACCTTTCGAGAAACTTTGCTTTTGCCAACAGCTGTTTGCACTACAGGTAACTTTTAATGGAGAGAGCACAGGCTGCTACAGTGTGTAGATTAGCAGGAGAAAGGAAGAGAAGTGGAGGGAATGGAGGCAGAGGAAGATGGAGAACCTCTTATCATGACAGACTGGGAGCTGTTAACCTATAGATGTACATCATCAATCTGCTGCTGTGTTCGTCGCTTATTCCTGTAGCAGTGTTAACATGAACGTTTTTTAACCACTCAACTGCTGTTCCCCACAGCTTTAAAGGGCTCTATAGAGAGTTTAAGCTCATTGTTTGACTATCCAGCCTGCAACTTTACTGATTTGGTTTGCTGTCATCGCTCTCATAGCGACATTTTCAGGCAGCTGTTTTCAGTGAAAATGCTCTTAAAAGCCACTGTACACTATCTGTTCAGCATCGAACAGCAGACACAGTTAGCGACTAGCTGGTGACATAGCAGAGCCAGATATTTCCCTCAGGAGTTGATAGAGACCAAAATCTGAGCTAAAATGAGAATGAATATTGGACTTGAATTTACTAAAAATGGTGATTCAGTTCATTTGCTGTAAGTTTGACATATCAACTTCAAAATTGCAGGTTTAATAAAAATGGGATATTTTCTTTTCTAGAGCATGTCCGAGGAGAAGTACCGCCCGCTCACCTCCAGGCTGCTGGTTGGTCGACCCAGGTGGAAGTTACTGTTTGATGAGATTGGGAGGACCAATAAGCAGTGAGTAGAGTGAAAGATGTACAGGGGTGGAGTAAGAACCCACTCTTATTAGTCTTATTATTTTATTATGTACTGTATACATTTTGACGATTTAAGAGAGTCAATGTTCCATGAAATGGCTTGACAAAACCCTAAATTATTCTGTTTGGCAGATGAGCAAAAGTGGGAATGGCTGTTTAATTGTTGGCCAACTTTGTCTCAGAGGCCTGGAAAAGAAGTTTTTTCAGTACTACATACTAAATGTTTCTGTAAGTGGTTTATGAATTTTGTTGTACTCAGTGGTAATTGGGAGATTCGACTGTGAATTATGATTTTCTGGATTTTGGTCCTGGCCTGTATGAATATATGGTGTCTTGTAAGACCATAAGGGCTGGGGATAACTGTATCCATGACACAATAATAGAAATTTGATTTATTCATTCATTCTACAGTATTAACTGTTGACATCCCACAATGTTACTCTCTCTGTTGTTTCAGTAAGCGAGTCGGGGTTTTCTGCTGTGGACCAAAGGGCATCTCCAGGACTCTCCACAGCCTGTGCAACTCAGCCCGATCCTCTGGAACAACCTTTGAATTCAACAAGGAATCCTTCAGCTGATCAAACATCAGAGCTAGCGCTACACTTTGAGGTCAACCTTGCCGAAAAACACAGTAAATTTGGGATTGATGGATTTTCACACATTTAGGGGCAAATGTTCTTTATTTGAAGTATTATTTGGAAAATATTTGGCTGATCTTAGTTACTTGAAATTTTGGACACGTCTAGAAATTTGCAAACAAACAACTGAAACAGGCCAAAAGAACTTGAATATTCACAGACTATGTTACTATTTTATATGTATCCCTGACCGTGGTCACAAAAGGCCCAGCAGGACAAGACTTTAACATGCAGCACGAGGCCTGTTGCTCTCTACAGACCAGCCTGACCTCCACCTGCAGGCTCTGAAAGCTTCAGCATCTGATCCAATCACCTCTGAGAAAAACTGCAGTGACCAGCTCACTGCTCGGATTCTCCACTCATGGTTCTCTGTTTTTCTAAAGTTGCTGTCGGCTTTCATCTCCACACCCCTCTGTGGATCAAATTTGTTTTCTCCTGTTGGAGTCTAATGTGAGAGAAAAAGGTCTGACACACGCTGCAATTCCACAAACACAAGCCGATAACAAGATAATGCTATTACACAAGAGGGAATTCATCTTACAGAGGACCAGCAGTGAAACATCACACAGGGACCAGACAGAAAAAACAAAAACTGTTTACTTAAATAACCAGGTGGAGCCACTTGGGCAGATAAACTGTGGTAACCAAAGCGCTATGACAGACAAAGTTCTTTTAACATTTACTTGACACCAAACTGGCACCCAGCAAGCTCTACTGACTATAAGGTTTAGATCAATAAGAGCAAATTCCACACTCTGTACCACTTCAGGCTTTTGTTCCACTCGCTTTTCTTCCCATATCCATAATAAATGAGTATCTTCCTCTGTACAATACATAAAAAAATTAGCTCCTTGTAATTTCAACTGATAAAACATTTGTTTTGTTAGTATTACAGTATGTAGGAATGTAGTCACAACCCTAAAAGAGCTGATTAATGCTAACCAAATGATTATTGTCTTATCTAGATTAAAATTACAACTAGTTAAAATTTAATTTCCCCTTCTATTAATAAAGATCCATTGATCTTAGAAAATTGATAGAAAACACAATATTTCAGAAAGACCAATAATAGAAACGCTTTGTGGGAAAAATACATCATCTGACAAGCCAATTAGAACAGAAACCAGCTGTAAAGGGGTACAGGAATTCAGCTCTCTATAGATCTTCATCTGTATGTCCCACTCATGGAAGCTGTTTTTTTTTGTCCCACCACGAAGAGCAAACACTTCCTGTGTCTGAGCTGGGAGACACTACTAAGTATCTGATAGGTATTTGATTGTCACTCATCAGAATCTGAGGTGATTTGGGGAAGAGTGGAACCAAAACAGACACCATATTCATTCTTTCAGTTTTCATCTAGTTGTGTAACTATCTGTTCTCTGTTGAAGAACTGTAGAAGCAAACCTACACTACACCTCAAGCCAGTATTTTTAGCTAGTTATTTTTTCAATTTATTTATATTGTTTAAATTTATTTTATGTGAAAAACTTCTGCAGGGCTTTGGCAATTTTTCCACAAAAGTAGGTGTCTGTCTTTTTTATTTTTTTTATTTTCACATACTGTATCTTGAGAAAGTAAAGTTACTGATAAGAAAATATTAGGATACTAGTTGAATTGCAACTGATAACAATTAATTTGTAAGTTTGACACTACATTTTTAGTTGTAGGGTTTTAGAGTCAGCTGTTATTTTAAGTGCCAAAAACAGCAGGTTTCTACAAGGAATCAACATCTTGATATTTTTTCAACCATTTTCTTTCAAATTGTAATTAGCTAATTGTAATTTAGCATTGAAATTTAAATATATTTAAATGTTGAATTGTATGTCTATTTTCAGGATTGTCCATTTTTAAGAACAAGGCAAAGTCTGAAATAAAAGAGATTTATATTTATTATATCTCAATTGCTTGAAAGTGTGAAAATGTTTTCTATTTCTGATCCTGGAATATGTAATTCATAGTCACAAGCATGTACTTATAAAACAATTTTATTTTGACAAACATCAACTGACATCAATCAGACAAGCTATTTCTAAACTTTTGAAATTCAGCAAAAACAGAAGTTGATTATGTCACAACCTGGCTCAAATAGTGTGACAAAGAGGGAGACCACACAGTCTGTGA